CCCCCAAATGAAAGTATAAAAGTTGGGGAAGGGCAAAGAAAACCACAACGGGAAGTCTAGGGGGCCATAGACTACAAACCTCACTCAAGGAGAAGGATCTTGAGGTGAGTATAACACCGAGCACATCTCCTGAGGTGCACATCAACCAAATAACTGCTGCAGCATATGGGCGCCAAGCAAACCTAAGAACATTCCGACATCTTAATAAGGAATCGTTCAGGAACCTGTACACTGTGTACGTTAGGCCCATATTGGAGTATGCGACACCAGTTTGGAACCCACACCTAGCCAAGCATGTAAGGAAAATGGAGAAAGTGAAAAGGTTTGCAACAAGACTAGTCCCAGAGCTAAGAGGTATGTCCTACGAGGAGAGGTTAAGGGAAATCGACCTGAAGACACTGGAGGACAGGATAGAGGGGGAGGATATAATAACGACATATAAAATATTGAGAGGAATTGACAAGGTGGACAGACAGGATGTTCCAGAGATGGGACACAGCAACAAAGGGTCACAGTTGGAAGCTGAAGACTCAAATGAATCGCGGGATGTTATGAAATATATCTTCAGTCACAGAGTTGTCAGGAAATGGAACAGTCTGAGAAATGATATAGAGGAGGCAGGGTTCATACACAGCTTTAAGAAGAGGTATGATAAAGCTTATGGAGCAGGAAGAGTGACCTAGTAGCGACCAGTGAAGAGGCGGGGCCAGGAGCTGTGAATCAACCCCTGCAACCACAACTAGGCGAGTACACACACACACACACACACACACACACACACACACACACACACACACTGCTCTTGGAGCAGGAGAAAGAGTGCATCTAGTAGTAACTAGCGAAGAGGCGGGGGCCTGGAGCTGTGATTTGACTCCCTGCAACCACAAATAGGTGAACACACGTTAGGAAGACAGATGGAGGGATGCAGGACAGAGAGAGTGGAGTGCACTCACCGTGTACTTGGAGAGACGAAGGTCGGTGGGGTCTGATCGGTTGGTCTCCACCGACACGTTGGAGAGTCGGGAGGTGACGCTGTGTACATCAGAAGCGTAGTCTCCGCCGCTCTCCCGCAGGAGTGGGCGGCGTGGGCGGCGACCGCCCCCACGCAACGCGTCTACATTGTGGTACTCGGGTTCCCGTCGGCGCGGACGCTCAGGTCTACCGGCAGGCACGTTAATCAGACGTACGTTGTCGTACACGGGCTGGGCGTAGGTGGGCACGCAGCGCCCACTCTGGTAAGCAGCCTCGGGCCAGTGGGTGTGGGTGGGGTGGCGGTGGGCGGGGCTGCGGAAGGCAAACCCTGGGCCTCCTACCGCCCAGTGGGTGTGGGCGGTCTTAGTGACGTCACGAGGTACAGAGATATCACCAGCTGTTCTCAGGGAGATAATATCTTCCTCGTTCATCACTACACGCAAGCTGCCCACGTATGGCTCTCTGGTGAACACAAACAATAAACATATAAGACTCTGGGGGAACACAAATATCATTAAGACTCTCTGGGGGAACACAAATGTCATTAAGACTCTCTGGGGGGAACACAAATGTCATTAAGACTCTCTGGGGAACACAAATGTCATTAAGACTCTCTGGGGGGAACACAAATGTCATTAAGACTCTCTGGGGGGAACACAAATGTCATTAAGACTCTCTGGGGGGAACACAAATGTCATTAAGACTCTCTGGGGAACACAAATGTCATTAAGACTCTCTGGGGAACACAAATATCATTAAGACTCTCTGGGGGGAACACAAATATCATTAAGACTCTCTGGGGGGAACACAAATATCATTAAGACTCTCTGGGGAACACAAATATCATTAAGACTCTCTGGGGGAACACAAATATCATTAAGACTCTCTGGGGGGAACACAAATGTCATTAAGACTCTCGGGGGGGAACAAAATGTCATTAAGACTCTCTGGGGGGAACACAAATGTCATTAAGACTCTCTGGGGGGAACACAAATGTCATTAAGACTCTCTGGGGGGAACACAAATGTCATTAAGACTCTCTGGGGGGAACACAAATGTCATTAAAGGGACTCTCTGGGGGGAACACAAATGTCATTAAGACTCTCTGGGGGGAACACAAATGTCATTAAGACTCTCTGGGGGGAACACAAATGTCATTAAGACTCTCTGGGGAACACAAATGTCATTAAGACTCTCTGGGGGGAACACAAATGTCATTAAGACTCTCTGGGGGGAAACACAAATGTCATTAAGACTCTCTGGGGAACACAAATGTCATTAAGACTCTCTGGGGGAACACAAATATCATTAAGATTCTCTGGGGGAACACAAATATCATTAAGACTCTCTGGGGGAACACAAATTCATTAAGACTCTCTGGGGAACACAAATATCATTAAGATTCTCTGGGGAACACAAATATCATTAAGACTCTCTGGGGGAACACAAATATCATTAAGACTCTCTGGGGGGAACACAAATATCATTAAGACTCTCTGGGGTAACACAAATATCATTAAGACTCTCTGGGGGAACACAAATATCATTAAGATTCTCTGGGGGAACACAAATATCATTAAGACTCTCTGGGGGGAACACAAATATCATTAAGACTCTCTGGGGGAACACAAATATCATTAAGACTCTCTGGGGGAACACAAATATCATTAAGACTCTCTGGGGGAACACAAATATCATTAAGATTCTCTGGGGGAACACAAATATCATTAAGACTCTCTGGGGGAACACAAATATCATTAAGACTCTCTGGGGGGAACACAAATATCATTAAGACTCTCTGGGGTAACACAAATATCATTAAGACTCTCTGGGGGAACACAAAATATCATTAAGATTCTCTGGGGGAAACACAAATATCATTAAGACTCTCTGGGGGGAACACAAATATCATTAAGACTCTCTGGGGGAACACAAATATCATTAAGACTCTCTGGGGGAACACAAATATCATTAAGACTCTCTGGGGGAACACAAATATCATTAAGACTCTCTGGGGAACACAAATATCATTAAGACTCTCTGGGGGAACACAAATATCATTAAGACTCTCTGGGGGAACACAAATATCATTAAGACTCTCTGGGGGAACACAAATATCATTAAGACTCTCTGGGGGAACACAAATATCATTAAGACTCTCTGGGGAACACAAATATCATTAAGACTCTCTGGGGGAACACAAATATCATTAAGACTCTCTGGGGGAACACAAATATCATTAGATTCTCTGGGGGAACACAAATATCATTAAGACTCTCTGGGGGAACACAAATATCATTAAGACTCTCTGGGGGAACACAAATATCATTAAGACTCTCTGGGGGAACACAAATATCATTAAGACTCTCTGGGGGAACACAAATATTAAAATTCTCTGGGGGAACACAAATATCATTAAGATTCTCTGGGGGAACACAAATATCATTAAGACTCTCTGGGGGAACACAAATATCATTAAGACTCTCTGGGGGAACACAAATATTAAAATTCTCTGGGGGAACATAAATATCGTTAAGACTCTCTGGGGGAACACAAATATCATTAAGACTCTCTGGGGGAACACAAATATCATTAAGACTCTCTGGGGGAACACAAATATTAAAATTCTCTGGGGGAACATAAATATCATTAAGACTCTCTGGGGGAACACAAATATCATTAAGATTCTCTGGGAGAACACAATGACTTATCATCAAGACTAGTCTCTAGGCCTAGGGGAACACGAACAAACATCCTGTAAGACTCTACCCGGAGGTGTGAACCAGAACCTACCTGAAGGTGTGAGTGAACCAGAACCTACCTGAAGGTGTGAGTGAACCAGAACCTACTTGAAGGTGTGAGTGAACCAGAACCTACCTGAAGGTGTGAGTGAACCAGAACCTACCTGAAGGTGTGAGTGAACCAGGGCCTACCTGAAGGTGTGAGTGAACCAGAACCTACCTGAAGGTGTGAGTGAACCAGGGCCTACCTGAAGGTGTGAGTGAACCAGAACCTACCTGAAGGTGTGAAGTGAACCAGAAACCTACCTGAAGGTGTGAGTGAACCAGAACCTACCTGAAGGTGTGAGTGAACCAGGGCCTACCTGAAGGTGTGAGTGAACCAGAACCTACCTGAAGGTGTGAGTGAACCAGAACCTACCTGAAAGTGTGAGTGAACCAGGACCTACCTGAAGGTGTGAGTGAACCACGACTTACCTGAAGGTGTGAGTGAACCAGAACCTACCTGAAGGTGTCCTTGGCGATGAGGAAGTCTTCAGGGTCAGACTCGTATGGAGGTTCATCATACCAGTGGTGTGGCGGGCCCAGACAACCCTGTGCTGCTGACACTGCCGCTCCGTCATCCACTCCGTCACCCACGTCATCGTCGTACATGTACGTGTCATCTGTGTGCATGTGCAACGAATTCATATTGCTGAAACACACACAGAGCAAAGAGGCGGGGCCAAGAGCTATGAATCGGCCCCTGCAATCACAAACAGATGAGTACACACACACACACACACACACAATACATACACACAGAACACAACACAAATTTGACAACACAAATCACATATGCAACTCAAATCACAACATACAAATTTCACACGCAACACACAAAACACACAACAAAATACACACACACACACACACACACACACACACACATAAGATATCCAAACACAAAAAATCCGTTCATGGCAATACACACCTACAAAGACATGTATAAACATACATATAGCACGTGTATTATGTTGTGTATAAGGACGTGCTTGACCACACATGTCAGAAACGAAATATTAAAGCAGCTTTGAAATGACTGGTCATGTTAGTTCAGAAGTCCACAAGCTACAGAGATGAAAATATACACGATATGCGATGATAATCCGAAATAAGGAAGAAAAACTCTTAATTATCAGTGCGTATAACTGAAAATTATCAAGACGTATAACTGAGAGTTATCAATGAAACCGAGAACTTTTATTATTATTATTATCACACCGGCCGATTCCCACCAAGGCAGGGTGGCCCGAAAAAGAAAAACTTTCACCATCATTCACTCCATCACTGTCTTGCCAGAAGGGTGCTTTACACTACAGTTTTTAAACTGCAACATTAACACCCCTCCTTCAGAGTGCAGGCACTGTACTTCCCATCTCCAGGACTCAAGTCCGGCCTGCCGGTTTCCCTGAATCCCTTCATAAATGTTACTTTGCTCACACTCCAACAGCACGTCAAGTATTAAAAACCATTTGTCTCCATTCACTCCTATCAAACACGCTCAAGCATGCCTGCTGGAAGTCCAAGCCCCTCGCACACAAAACCTCCTTTACCCCCTCCCTCCAACCCTTCCTAGGCCGACCCCTACCCCGCCTTCCTTCCACTACAGACTGATACACTCTTGAAGTCATTCTGTTTCGCTCCATTCTCTCTACATGTCCGAACCACCTCAACAACCCTTCCTCAGCATAAAAAAATCAATGTATACAAATCAAAATTTTCAATATATACCCATCATTCAACAGCACATGTCAGTTACCCATGCATATAACTATCTTTCAACTATAACTAAGAGAAAATTTTGTAAAAATGAAAGGCTAGTCAAAAGTTACAAAAAAAAGCAATAGACACACGAGATAAAGCGATCGTGATAAACAAAAATCATTAACCACAACTGCTCAGTGTAGTGATTTATGCAGCAGTAAGTTAAGGAAGCAACCAGAGTGAGAGAAGGAACTGTATTACTGTTACAGTTACTACAAGTATTTACTATAAGAGATACTCAGAAGATTTGAACCCAGGCGGTATAAGATTTTAACCCAGGTGGTAAAAGATTTAAACTCAGGTGGTAAATGATTTAAACCCAGGTGGTAAATGATTTAAACCCAGGTGGTAAATGACTTGAACCCAGGTGGCAAATGATTTAAACCCAGGTGGTAAATGACTTGAACCCAGGTGGTAAATGATTTAAACCCAGGTGGTAAATGATTTAAACCCAGGTGGTAACTGACTTGAACCCAGGTGGTAAATGATTTAAAGCCAGGTGGTAACTGACTTGAACCCAGGTGGTAAAAGCGATGTTTTAGATATACGCTGTAAGTTATTGAAGAAATGTACACTGTATGTTATGACTTGAGAAATATGTACTTTTAAGTTATGATTTGAGGAAGAAAAAAAAAGGATAAATTAATGACGAGAGGAAAATTTGATGTAAGATAAAAACTGTGAAAAAAATGGAATGGAATATGCCAAGGAACAGACACCAGAACAGTCTCTAGAGTTCTTACAAGCAATCACACACTATATTCCAGTAACTGAGAAAGAGAGGAAAGAACAAAGACTGGTTAACAGGTGCTGCAGCCATGAAAAAAACCAAGTGTGGCACTTAGATAGGTACAGTGCCAACCCAGTGACGTACCAGAGGGATCAATAAGTAAATGTATGAAGGTAACGAGGAAGAAACTTGAAAAACACTAAGTAAAATAAATGTGAAAGATATAATATAGAGAATCAAGCAATCGATAAATGGGAAGTGTTTACTTAAGACCAAACTTAAAATTAATACACTAGACTTAAGTCTTGGACAACCATTTGAAACAGTGAGATATACCTATACCGAATAGGTAAAACTTGCGATTTTGGCTTAAACAGGAACGCTCTTCTTAACGAATAAGGCAAGCGAAAATTTGTATATGCAATTTAAATTTCAAAGTCATTCTGACCTAACGAAAAATAATTAATTGGGTTTGTTT